GCACAGAAAGATCCAGTATGAGCTATCCCACAAGATAGACAGAGACCGACTAAGAATGCTATTATCTGATCCCATAGTCCAAAGAGTTCCCGGAGTTTGCTTCTTCTACACCAGCATTCAAGACGGTTTGACCCCAATTCTTGGGCATTACATAAAGAACATGAAATCTCTTCACAAGGTTACTATTTTCACGACCTTTCGATACTTGTTGGTTCCCAGAGTTGCGCCACATGAAAGAATTGTTGTCAGCAAACTAGGCCTTAAAGGGGTATACAGATGTGTGGTTCAATATGGTTATGCTGATTCTCTTGATCTTGAAGGAGACGATTTTGTGAGTCAAGTTATTGATAGATTGCAGGCACATATAAACGGCTCTGACTATGCAACCTCAGTTACTTCTGAGCTTGAGGAAGAGATGTCTGATATGGAAGAGGCAAAGCTCACTGGCGCAGTTCATGTTCGGGGAAAGACAAGATTTTCTGTAAGTAAAAATTGTGGTTGGTTTGATGGGTATATGCTTGCATTCTATGAAGTTTTGCATAGGAATTGTAGGTCAGCATTGCCTGCTCTGGGGGTGCCGCTATCGCGGCGTGTTGAGGTTGGAATGCTCTATGAGGTTAGAGAGAGAGACGGAGAGAGAGAGAGAGGAGTGTAAAACCCAAGGTAATGTTTAAGTTTTAGGTAGTGAAAATGAGATTGCATTGTGGTTTGATAGAGACAGATTAGTATAAAAGCCAAAGTAAAGGTTTAGGTAGTGGCAATTAGAATGTAATGTGGGTGTAATTTATATATGTATTTTGGATTTTGAGTGGAGAGATAAAATGTATTATAAAAGAATATATAAATGTAACAGATTGTGGTTCACAAGAAAATGATCTATTTATAATTACAAGAAACTATTTCTCAATTTATGAATTTTTTTTGGGGGGTATAATTTGTGAACTGTTAACTGTTTGTATATTTATTTGATAAGAATTCAATCTCCAGATCATTAAAAAAGAAAAAAAAAATTGTTGGCTCAAGAAAAAAAAAATGAAAAAAAGAGAGATAAAAAAGGATAAATTATTTTATCCCGTTTTGGTTTGGTTTATATGCAGATTACTCATTTGAAAAAAAAGGTAAATCAAACTTTGTCCTTTTTATGTTTGATCAATTTCTCACTTTGGCTTTTAATTTATTTTTTCTTACTTCAACCCTTCATGTTTTAAGCTTTTCCTAATTTACTTCTAAATTTAATTTATGTTTAAAATTAGACAGAAAATATCACGATAATTGTCCCATAATATAAAAATTATATTATGATATTAAGATTTGAATTTGTGTCAGAAATGTGAGCTCTGTATAATATATTATTTTTATACTACGTGACCGCCAATGTATCATGTTTTGTTTAGCTTTTAACAGAAGTTAGTTTTAGGAGTAAATTAGATAGGAGAAAAAAAAAATTAAAACAAAAAGGGTCAATGTGAAAAAATAATAATAATAATAATAATTTAAGAGCCAAAGTGAGAAAGTGATCAAAAATAAAGAGGAGAGTATAATTTATCCTGAAAATAACCACATAACCCTCACTAATTTTTGTTAGGGCAATTCTATTTACACACCACTAATCAACTCAGTACACACTATTACTTAGTACACATACACAATAATTTTTAGAGTTTGAAAATATTTTATTTCATACCTTAACTTTAAGTTACTAGTCAAAAGATAACACACCACTTGTGCATTCGAATACACACCACAACCCAGACCCAAATATCTCTATCTTCAAAGCACCCTATATCTCTATCGTCGGCATTGAAGATCTCCAACGGAGGCAAAGAGTTTTGTTCAGCCCGTGCATTCTCATTGTTTTAGATCTTCATCGTCGCCGTCATTTTGCCGTTAGATTGCCAGTGTATTATCGTCATTTTAGATCTCCATCTTTGCCATCATCTCGCCGTTTTTTCGCCGGTGCATTGTTAGTATTGAAAATTTATCATTCTTACCCTTGATTCGCACATTTTATTCAAACATTAGTATGTTTTTCCTATTTTCTTTTGATTTGGTTATCGTTTCTACTTTCATAACAATTTCTATTTCGATTTTAACTCAACTTTGATTGTTTGAGCAAAATATCATCGTACAAAAAAATAAAATTGAACAAATTGAATATATTCAAAATATTTATGTTGAACAAAATAAATATGTTTATAGTTTATATGTTGAATAATTTTAACTCGTTCAAACTTAATATATTGAATATATATTATATTATATTTATTTATTTATTTATTTATTTTTTAAATGTTGAAATTTTTGAATGTGTAGAATATACCTCCATATTATTCTTTAATGATCTTTTTATTTGATAATATTATTAAAATATAAATTTAATCTGTCAGTGGTATATACTAAGACGATTACTGGTGTGTAAATGGAATTTCCCTTTTTCTTAATAAAACTGACCTTTATATGCTCTTGTTCCTCTCTTTCCAATTATACCTACATATATACGTGTGTATATATATACGTATTCTCACCTTCCCATGTAAACCAGACTCTCAAGCATTGATCACACCATATCCCTCTCTCTTTTTTCCACTCTCTCACCACTGCTCACTACTCCTTAATTTTTTAGTTTTGCCTGATTTGTATTTGACGGAATCCTATTATCATGATCGGTTGGTTGTCCCACAGTGAATGTTCTTAATCAAGTATATGGATAGAAACCTTATATGTAAAGTGGGTAATATATACAAACCCACTTATAATTGCATTTAATAATTTTGTTTGCTCTAATTCATGTACCTACTTATAATTGCATTCAATAATTTTGTTTGCTCTAATTCATGTCACTGGATGGTGTTTCATGATCGGTTCTAAGACCCAATTTGTTAGAGACAGTGGTGAGATAGGGTGGTGCGGCAGCAATGTTTGATGGAGTTTATGGCACCACCAAGAGATTGATTACTGGAAACATTTTTCAAATATTTGCAAGACAAAACCCAAAACCTGCAACAATAGCACTAAAAACTCGAGCTCCTTAAGCTGTTGACAGACTAAATGCAACTGTGATTTTTTCCAGCAGGTATAAGAGGTGCAAAACGGTTGGAACGAAAATGCAGTACAAAGAGGAAAAAATGAGCATTCTTTTGTAAATTTAAATACGTATAAAGGATATTTTCGTCTTAAATTAGACATACTCGCCACACAACCGTATGACTCTCACAACCTGTTATTTTAGATGAAAAACTAACGGTTCATTGTAGTTCACAAACCATATATACATTATGTAATTATTTCTAAATGACAACAAGACAATCCGTACATAGACCAAACTATGAGAGGGTAAAATAAAATTTGCCCAAGAAAAAAAAAAATGACTTCTCATTCTGCAATTTTATCCTAGTGCTCTCTCAAAACAGGCTTCAATGAGTATTATAGTCATTGATAATTTTTTTGTTCCTTTTTTTCTTTTGATAAAAATACTTGTTAAATAGAGCATATTATAATTTGGTATTTACAAAATAGCCATAAGGGAAGTGATGTTTTATGAAATAAAATGTTAGGCAACTAAAATACAATACATTAAGAAAATGTATAGTTGAAAAGTAAGCAATCAGTCCATTCCAAGCGACATTAGACTAGCATATCAGAATGGTAAGGTAAGGAAAAAATCTCAACTCACATGAGATGCGATAATAAATAAATATATAAATTTATTTAATTTAAACAAAGTATATAGCCTTTTTCATCCACACAATTCAACCAAGCTCAAATGATATGGACAAGCTATATCACAAAAGATAGTCCACGTCACCAAGCCACATAATCAACAAATTTTCATAAACTACAAAGTGACTCCAAAACTTTAGTATAATTACTTTTTTTGTTTTATTTTAGTACAATCTTACAGAATTTAGACATTACTAGTAAGACCCTGTGGAAAAAATTGGGGGATGGAACATCACCCATGTGGGCAAGTTGGCTCAATTTCTCTTTCCTCGACTTCACCATGAAGATTGAAGAAGAAAAGAGAAGCTTGGCTTCTCTTGTGAACACCAAACCAGGAGACTCTAGAACAAGGTGTTCATCTTGAATTTAGCCTCCTGAAGGTTAACAATGGAGGCACCTTGAAGCTTTCAGAACGCATCTAAAACATGGTGAAATTTTCGTCACCGCCTGCGCATCTCACCTGGAAGAAAATCTATAAATAGAGAGGTTAGCTATGGTATTTGATATGCAAACATTGAATTGAAAAAGAAGAGAGTGGTGAGGAAACACCGAGTGAATTTGTATCTCTCCAAAATATATAGAATTTTCGCTGCTTGTAGATGTAGGCTATTGCCGAACCACGTAAACTCTGTGTTTCTCTCTCGTGTGTGTTTGTTTGTATCAATCTGTGGCTCCCCTGGTCTACGCTACAAGAAAATACACATTTGGTGACCAAAATTGGCGACCAAAACAAATTTAGTCGCCAAAAATATACCTTTTGGCGACTAAAAAAAATCAGCCGCCAAAGGTTCACAGTTCAGCTACTATTTGAATTTAGTCCAGATATATTGTCTTTTGGTGACTAAAACAAAATTTAGTCACTAAATATATAGTAATCGGCTACTAAATAATAATTAGTCGCCAAAAGTTTATATTTTACTCTACTAATTGTAGGTTTAGTCGCTGATTAAGGTTAATTGCTGACAAAAATATAGTTTAGTCGCCAAATATTATGGACATTTTTTACACCTTTTGGTGACAAAAAAATTTACTAGTTGTATATTTAATTTTTTCTATCGAAAAAAAAATTAGTAGCCAAATGATACTTTTGGCTACCAATATATTAGTCGCTATTAATTAATCATTGGTTGCAAAGCAGTATTCGTCATTATTCAGCACTATTTGGTGACAAAAAAATAATTTAGTCGCTAAAGGTGGAATACTTTTATTTTTATTTTTTATTTCTTTAAGAGGGAAAGCAATTGATTTTGGCGCCCGATATATATACACTGTATGTTCCGTCTCTCAACACATATGATATACACTGTTCTGTCTCAAACACTTTTTGCTGTCACCAAACCTCACCCGCTCTCACCACCGACGCTCGCCACCATCGCACATCGCCACCTGCAAATCACTAGCGCCACTTAATCACAGGTTTTTTTCTCCCCCTCTGTCGCTCTCGGTCTCTCCCTCTCTGTCGCTTTCAGTCTCGATCCCTCTTTGTCGTTCTCGCTCTCTCTCTCTCCCTCCCTCCCTCCCTTCCTCCATTTCCCCATTTCTCACACGTAGCTCTAGGGTTTTATATGATTATTGTTGTTTGATTTTGTGTTGATTTCTTAACTGAAAATCCAGATTTTTGTGTTCATTTTGTGTTGATTTCCTACACTTGCTAGAGGGTTTGTGTTAATTTCTACACAAAAATCCCAAATTCAAGCTCATGAGCTTAATTTGATTTTAGAAGTATATTAGCTTAATGTGTGAGTTGTAAGAGATTTGGGTTTTGTTTGTACTGGGATGCTCATTGTACCGTTGAAATGTTGATGCTGTACATCTTTTTGCTATAATTCTCTTGTAAATTAGTGAGTAATGCTTGGTTGTTTGTAGGCACTGTTATATTCCCTTCCATTCCCTCCGATGCCTTTCCTATGTCATTTTGCACTGCCTTTGGATTGGTTTTGGTTTTTATTCCTTGAAGAACACAGAAGAATTTGTTCCAGGATTGTTGGCATTGTAAGGGGTTGTTAGATGTTGCTGTCAGTTTCTTATTTTCTGTTTCTGTTTTTTAGTCTAACCTTTCATGTTTAGGAATTAGAAGGAAACTGAACCAATTCCAGTCTGGAAAACAAACTGAGGATCCCAGGTTAGTGTCTTACATAGGGATATAGGTAGACTAGATCTTTCCAGAACAAGTTCAATGAAAATTGCTTTACCTTGTTTCTTTATGAAGTCCTTGAGAATACAACCTAGGAACCAACACTTCTCTTTTTCTTTTTCTTCTTGTTTTTTTTTTTTTTTTTTTTTTTTTTTTTTTTTTTTTTTTTTTTTTTTTTGGTGCCTTCTGTTTTTGAGAAGAATTGCAGAACAAATCTACTACCTCTTTTCCACTTTTAAGTTGTATTAACTCCATGTAAGATTTGATCAAAGGTTTGGAACTCTTTTTTCTTTCTTCTCGTTGTGGGTTTTGGAACAGTATGTTTGAGATGGAATTTGTTATATCCATTTTTGAGGCTTGAGAGAGAATATGAATTTTGGAACTTCTCTGCACTATCCGTATCCATAGCTTCTGGTTTTGTGAAAGCAAAAGTTGAAAGTATAAATACTTTCAAATATTTTGGCCCAAGGTTTTTACCATTTAATAGCTTCTATACATTCGTAAACTCTGGTTCATGTCTGATGGGCTAATAAGCAACCTATGCTGATGTTGGAACTTGGAGCAAGTTTGTGAGGTCTATTGAATATAATTTAAACAGTTTCCACTTAGCCCCCTTCATTTCTTTTAAAGATCCAACATTATGCAAATGGTTATTGACCACTTAATAGGTGGTCATTAATTTCATTATACTTTACAAAATGTATACTGTTATTGTTGAGTCACACTGTTATTGGGAGCACTATAGCAAGCAAAACAAATGGATTTGGGTTTTTACCATTGGAGGCTTTTTTGCTGTTTGTCCTTGAAAAAAATAGCAGATATTGAATTATCTGAACTAGCCTATTTTAGTACTGAGGTGTTGAATTTTTGATTCAATTCTTCATTCTTTCAGTATTCCAAATGTACTTCTGTGACTTATTATTTTAATATTTAATACCATATGAATTGGTGCTTGGCTATGCTGGTTACTGAAGTACTTAACCTTTGTTTTGTGTAATAAACACTCTGGCATTATGTTTATTAAATGATAGTATTATTTTATATGTCACTCTGATTATTTGCTGTTGTATATATATTTTTTTCCTTTTAATGTGCAGTCAGCTGGGGCTTTGTCAATTAATATTGGTAAGTGCTGGTTCTGTGCTCTTATTAGAAGTATCACCTGCAGGACTTGACCATTTCGGATCGGATGGTATTGTTCATTTCTGCTAGCTCACTACGGGTCTTATTTTGATAATTTGAATTATAATTTTTGTATTGTTCTGAATTTTCAGCAGAAAACTATTAACTGTTTGTAGTGAAAATTAGTTTGATTTGAACAATTAGTTAGGCAAGGATGGTGAGAAAGTGAAGGATTATACTAACTGATAGACAAAATTGAAATGCTAGTGTTGTAGAACAGGAATGATCATCAAACCGCTGCTTGTAATTGCTATATATATAAAAAAAAAAAAAAATAAGAAAAAAGAAACTCCTCTGTTGTGATAGGGCATCTGTTGAAGTAGTGATTGCTGATAGCACATTTCAAAGATGGGTTCGTGAGGTTCCGAGTTGTGGTACGGTTAATTTAATTGGGTTTCATCTTGTTTTCTTGTGTTTCATCTTTTTGTGGGTTTGTTTTGATTTGAATGAGTTCTGAGTTTTTGAATTCCGCACATTAACATTGTTTTCATTCAATGTTATTTGTGGGAAAATTATATGGTGATGTATGAATTATGGTCTGAATTATGGATCATGTGGTGCTTTGTAAGGGAATATATTTGAGAAATAAGGGAATTGTTATATTCAAATAAAACTGTAACTCTTCATTTGCGGATGTGTGCTCCCCTGCCAAGTTTGATGCCTGGGTTCAAGTCTTACTGCTGTGAGTGCAGCTTCCCTTCCCCTATTACCCACCTATCTAAAAAATAAATTAAAATAAAAAGTGGAATGATAAAACATCCTATTGTTTGAAGGTTATGGTATTTATCTTGGAAAATTCTAATGTGTATGAAGTGCATTGAAATGTTTATTTATTTTGGCCCAAGGGGCCTGCCCCCAGAAGTTTAGAAAGCTACTTTTATTTTCTAAGCAACAATTACTTGGGCTTGAGTTCACATCTACAGTTTCAAAAGCTGCTGCAAAGGTGGGTTTAATCATTAATGGTCAACAACATTTTATTTACTTTTTTGTATTAAATATTTTTTAGACATTTGCCTAAGTTGTTTTGGCCCTCCTGTTTTAGGTAGCCCTAGCACATGGAATGGGCCCAAGGGGTTCTGCTTTAATCTATGGGTATACAAGTTACCATGGACTGCTTGAGTCGTGCTTGGCAGACTTGAAAAAGAAAGAGGTATTGACTTTGTTCTGTGTATTGCAATCAATTGTTCATTGGGAGTCAAGATCATCTGTACATTTTATCAATTTACTTTTACATTTACTTACTGAAAAGATTAATTTATTCTTCTCCGTTGTGTTAACACTTACTGGTATGGAATAATGAAAGATTACAATAGAGGGATTGCAGTGTGTAAACATGAACAAATGTGTGATGGAAACATGATCAGTATGTTGGATCAATAGCAGCATATCATGTATAAACTGCATCTTCTGAATTCACATGTACAATATATTCTTCAATATGGTTTGATGTTTCGGGCTGTTGATGGTTTCTGAATTTGTATTCCAGAGCATGGTCCCATTATTTAGTTCAAAAGATATGGTAAATCTTTGACTTCTAGGGTTAGAGAACTAGAAAGTTTTACTCTGGGATTACAATTCTGGGAAAAAGAAATTTAAGTCTGATTCAGAAAATTAGTGTAATTTATATTTAATTATTGGTAACATTTGTTTGCTTTAGTTTGTGGCAAAATGGGTTGTCTCAATTTTACTGTTGTGAAAGGTCACTGATGCTCATAATATTCTCATTAATATGTATGCTTATATTACAAATTTATGCATGATATAATTAATAAAGTGATAAGGTGCAGAGATCCTTTCTAATTATAAATGTCCTATAGGCAGCATTTTCCATTGGAAGATTGACATACAAATAAAAATAAGACACTAGCTATTATTTTTCTTTAATTCTGGTTTTAAGATTTCTGCACCTATTTTATCATGTATCTTTGACAATATAACTGCGTCTTGTAGCTATGTTTTTAGAACTTAATTAATATTCTTGTTGAGTTTTTCCTAGAAAAAGAAAAATGAAAGCATTTCTAGTACGTTTGTTTAATGTTTGGCTGGAATTGAGGGGATAGAATGAGCTCTGGGTTGTGATATTTGTGCTGCTTGTCCCAATGGGAAGTCCTTCGCTTCTAAACAACAAATTATTATTAATTCTCTGTTTTGCAGAAGGTGATTGCTTAGTTTTGTGCTAAAAAGGACACTAGCTTGCCAAAGGACCTCTATTTTTGTTGCTTAGGAATTGGCTGTCACTGTCACATTGTTTTTTCCAAGCATGTTTTAAATGTGGTTTGTGAATCCATGTCATTTCACTTATAAGTTGTTTTCTGTTCAATTGAAATCCTATATTTGAGGGAACCTCCTGATTGCATAAATTCAGATGCTATATTAGTCCTTTTGGCATGGAAGAGGAGTGCTTGATATAAGTAACAGTCTTGCTTGTGAAGACCCATAAGGGTAATGCAAAGATTTTGCATTATATAATTTTCTTTTATAGTTTCAAATATGCCAATGCTATGTGGTCAATACTAATGATTAATTTTTTTTTTTACCGATGATTTTTGGCATGGAATTGTAGATATTCCTTTTTTGTCTACAGAGGACGTGGTTTTTGTACTACTTTTTATTTTGTATGAAATTATTATTTTCAGTTGGAATATACTTGGTTTGTATAAAATTTGACATTAAAAGTTGTGCTCTTTTTTGGATGGTTGTAAGTGAAATACGTGTTGTGGAATAGGTGATAATATGTATGTATTGTTTGGTTTGTATACCTGTTACAGGTTGCGTGGGATACACACAGGTTGTGGACAAATTAATTAAAATAAAAAAAAATATAAAATGATATTTTTGGCAACTACATAATTGGTAGCCAAAAATGGAATTAAATATTTTTAGCGACTAAATAATTAGTAGTTAAAAAAAGAATTAAATGAAAGCAAACCTTTTGGTGACTAAACATTTAGTAGCCATTTAAAAAAAATATTTTAGGCGACTAATGATTTAGTAGTAAGAAAACAAAAAAAAAAAGTTTTGGCGACAAAAATTTTGGTAGCTAAAAATGTGATGTGAAATTTACTTGTAATCTTTTGGCAACTAAAAAATTAGTCGCCAATTTAGCCTTTCAGCGACTAAATTTTTTTTGTTGCCAATACCTTTACTTTTGGCGACTACTTGTTTTAGTCGCCAGTTTAGGGCTTTCAGCAACTAAAATTTTTTTAGTCGCCAATACCTTTGCCGACCGTCTTTCCACGACCAAGTTGGTGTCCAAATTATTTAGTTGGGGAAACTTTTTGGCGACTAAAAATATAACTTTTGGCGGCTAAAAATTTAGTTGCCAAAATTGCAATTTCTTGTAGTGCTAACAAGTGGTATTAGAGCCTGGTTAGGCGAATTTTCAGTAAATTAGAGGCATTTTTCAGAACTGCCCAGATTTCAAAGTTGTCAAAATCAACTTCTGAACACACCATTGAATAGCTCTCATCAAGTAGAGCAATTTGAAATTTTTTTACCTCAAATGGACACCGAACGCTCTCTCAATTGCTAGTCAACGTTGACCAAGCCACGTCAATGTTGACCAAAAACCACCTCGCTACCATATCAGCTTCGACAGCCTGGTTAATTGCCATGTCAGCAGCCATATCAACATGTTTGATTGCCAAGCCAGCGTTAACCGCCACATCAGCAACCCAGCCAGAAACAAAATATTTCCTCTGTGAAGCATATTCTGACAGAATATTCTCTTGAATAACAAAATATTCTCCAAGGTTTTGGTCAATTTTAGGGCACTTTTGGGCCGATTTTTGATGTAAGGAGAGTAGCCCCTAGCTAAATCGACTGTTCCAGACGCAATCGTGCTATCCATTTATTTAGATTTGCATCCAAAGTTTGTGAAGTTGTCAAGGGTGTTGTATTCCAAATTGTCTTAGACATCCCTGAAAAAAGGCTCTTTTGGTGGTTTCAAAATTTTGAAAAAGAATGGTTGAAAAAATAGCTTCATCAAGTAACCGTGGAAGAAGGAGCTCAATCTCCAATGCCCAGTTCAAGGTTAAAAAGTTTGATGGAATAAACAACTTCAACATGTGGCAATGCGAAGTCTTAGACGTTGTGGACGCGCCCCGAACGTCCCTGGCTCTGCGCGCGAAAATGGCGCGAGATTCCGATTTGTCCATTTGGGGTTACTACAGTTCGGACTCAAATGTCACGGTTTTGAATCTAATCTCACAATGTGCGATGTAAGACCGATAAATCACCAAAGAGTCCAAATCCGGCAAATCGTTTTGGAAAACTGATTTTTATAAAGAAGTGTCAAACATGGACTGCTTTGCCAGATACAGAATTGCCACCTAAATATTTTATTTTAGGAAAATTTAGGAAACCCTGACTCGTGCCTAAGGCCACGTGTCTGTCATCACCAAAGTTGCCTTGGCTCGGGAACTTGGGTACGATTGGGGAAGGTCATTTAATGAGCACCCCCGCTCGCCCGATCAAAGATCGGCCTATACTAAGCATGATATCTTGTTTTTGAAAACACATGTGTTCTTATTTCGGTTAATTAGCTAATCTTACTATGTGATGTGCACAGCAAACAAGTATAGACTAGATCGCCTAATTTGGAACAAAGTATCGCATATCCGTTTGTTTGGAAAATGGTTTGAAGTTTGTTACTCGCAAGCAGGGTAAAATGCAGATTTCAATGAATTGTTTCAATTCAGGTAATCCAACCTTCACCCACAAGCAATCAGACAGTTATAGCAAATAAACAATTAGTCTCATGGCAAGCATGCTTTCATGGCAGTCAATAACACACATGCAGTATGCTAAAGTGTAAATACTCACAGTGTACTCCAAGCCAAAACAAAGAACTAGTTAGAAATCATGCATGGTCCTAGTTCATGTTAAGATGGCTAATGCAACACATGCGAAATGCAACTAAGATAGGCTCGGCTATCCTAAGAGTGTCATGTGAAATGCAATTTGGTACATGTATTCAAATTAGAATTGAGATACAATACAGTTAGTATGATGCGCCCAGCCCGGTGCATGCAATGCAGATGAATGGATGCACGCATGCAAGCATAAGGTATGCTAAACAAAATATGCCCTAAAACTAACCATCGTAAGTGGTTAAGTAAGAGGGAGAAAGAAATAGGGGTTGGAAGACATGTATCACACACACGCACGCTTATTACAGCAGTTGGCTCTCTCGAGGGAGAGACCAAACAAGAAGCTAACTAGCTAATCTAAGCTAATTAAACTAATTATTACAACACAAATTAATTAACTAATCCTAGTTAACTAATTATTACAAAACGAATTTGAAGAGCTAACCCATTAACTATTAAAGTACAAACCAAAGCAAAAGTAAGCTATCTAAGCATGGCAGCTAAGGAAAGCAGTAAAACAGGACGTTCTCGGAGGGAGAAGGTTGGATGCATGCTCGATCGCCTCGTTCGGAAATCCAATGCGATGCACCGATTTGCCTCTGTTTTCATTTGTTCTTAGAAACTTGCACCAAGCTCCAGAAAGCTGAAACTTCACCTTGGAAGTCCTGTGGGAGGGTGGCCGACCAATTTTGGTCTTTCCAGACACCTGCCGACCACTTTTGGTTGTTGAAAAACCAGAAAAGTGGTCGGCCAGCTAGTTTTTTTGGCTGGCCGGCCAGTTCTTCCTGCTGAACTTGAACTCCAGTTTGCTGTAACAGAGAGCAAGAAAGGGCATGGCAATGTATTTGCAAGATATGTGTGCACAACCACCCTCCCTATCATGTCATGAGCTCAAGGGAGTGCGATTCTCGACCCTCGGGCCACCAATCGTGCATTTCAATACATGATGGCCGAGAGGCGAAGTTGCACAATTCAATGTAAAAATGAATGCACAAGTAAACACATAAAGCCTAAAACTCTATCATGTATGATCAAGAGGGTCGGCGACCGAGAATCGAGGCACGTTTTATCACTTTAAGCATGAAATGTCTCTCGTTTTCCGTGTTTGGACTAACACCTATTCCAAACACAATACAACACATAACATGGCATGCACAATGCAATGAACTACATGGCATACTCGATGCAAAGAATAACATGGCATGCATAATGCAATAAACTACATGGCATACTCGATGCAAAGAATAACATGGCATACTTGATGCAATGTGACATGATTAACTTAACAAAGCTAATGACATGCGAACAATGTTAATGCATACTTGCACAATGCGATGCTATAAGGGCAACTTAGCAATGTTAGGAACAAGCATACTCAATGCAAGGCAAAATAAGTATGCAAACAACATGATACAATGCAACTAGCATACACGATGCGAATAGACATGGCATACACAAATGCAATGAACCAATATGGCATACTCAATGCAATGACTATCATGGCATACTGTAACAAGCCCGCGGGGGACCTCGCTACAGCTCGGACTCGACTTGTTGTCACGGTTCTTAATCTTGAAGCAAAGAGTCCAAATCCGGCAAATCGTTTTTGAGAAAACTGATTTTTGAAAGAAGTGCCAAACATGGACTGCTTTGCCAGATACAGAGTCGCCACCTAAATATTTTATTTTGGGAAATTTAGGAAACCCTGACTCGGTGCCAAAAGGCCACGTGTCCGTCATCACCAAAGTTGCCTCGGCTCGGGAACTTGGGTACGATTAATTAAAGACTTAGTGTATTACTCATCAAATTGAATAGGAGTAAGAGAGAAGTGTACTGGACTTGTTGAACCTAGGTATATACACATAGAGTGAAAGGGAAAGACCTTGAGAAATAGAGCTCAAGAAGGAGAAAGAAGATAGAAGAAGAGGAAGTGAAAAGGCAACTTGAATTGTTCATAAATTTAACAACTTAAGGTGAGAATTTGCCTTTAATTTCATGAAATTGAGATGTCATGGTTATCATCCTTTGGACATTGAGTTGAAATATAAAGGATATCATGCATACTTATGAGTTTAGTAGTGTAAATTGATGATAGGAACTCATATGGACAAATAAAGAAGGAATTGTAGAAATTTAGCTCAAGACCAACATGCATGGCATGATTCATGATATTTTGTTTATAGACATATTTTCTTGCATGATTTTCATGAGTTCTACAAGTTTCAAAGAACTATCCTCATTGATGTTGGAATTGGAAGTTTAAAATGCTTTTATAATGTCTCGGAGTCTTTGAGCAACTAAATTGGAAGAATTAGCTCAAACTATGGACATGCATGATTTTATTTTTAATCATACACACCATTCTTGCATGAGTTTTCAAGATTGAAGGGACATTCCATGAGATTTGAGGATTTGGAGCACAAAAAAATGCAAGTTTAAAGAATTTTTATGTCAACTCAAATAACTTGATCATGGCATGGAAATTGAGCCCAGTTTTACCGGGGCACCCTTTTGGACTATTCGATTATGATAGGAAATCAGCCACAACTGCCTTGCTTCTGATGGATGATGCATGTCCGGGTCGTCTTGCGCGGAAATCCACCGGAATGCCCCAATTAGCCTCTGTTTACACCTGTTCTTGAAATGCGTGCTAAGTTCCAGAAAGTTGCTGATTCCTCATTTTGCTGCAACAGAGAGCAAAAGAGGGGCATAGCAATGTATTTGCACAGATATATGCATGTCTCGGTCCTCGTGCCACCAATCACGCATATCGAGGCATGATGGCCGAGGAATCGAAATGCACA